CTTGAGCTGAACTGGACCAGTCACTAGAATGTGACGGAGGAAGTCACCCCCTTAAGAACGGGACACCTCGCAAAGGTCCGGCCCTTTCTCACGGAAGAACAACAGCTTGGGCTCTACTTCTGAACTTGAGCCGGTGGTAACGTCTGACCCGAGGGAGAGCACCCTCACAGAGTGCCCCCAGGATAAGAGCAGAGTCTGCTGTTCCAGAAAGGGTCCCTCAGAGAGGCCGAGGGTGACCCCTCACCTGTCCTCGGCCACCACCTGTACCTCGTTAAGATGAGCCGAACTGCAGGAGGGTGGCCCTCAACCCGATGCAGCTGTGTCTTTACAAACAAGGGGTTTGGCTCACTCAGTCTCAGGCAGCAGGAGAGGCAGACGAATGTGTCATTTCGCAGTTCGTGGGACGTGTTTTGTTTTTAACAATGAAAGTTTTAATTTTTAAAATTCAGTGAGGTAACTGGTTAACAACAGAGTCTAGTTTCCCTCTATTGCCGTACATGTGATCCCCTTTACCCAACCGCTCTCTCCCTTCCACTCCCTTCCCCTCTGGTATCCACCATTTTGTCTGTATTTAGGGATCCGTTTTGTTCATTTGTTATTTGCAACAACATGGGTGGGTCCTGAGGCTGCTATGCCAAATGGAGTAAATCAAGTGGAAAAGGACAAAACCTGCCTAATTTCACTCACTGCAGTGCTTTGTGCAGGATGAAAAGGGGGCAGAGGGTGGCAGTGACTGGGCCAGCCCCTGCTGCTCTGTGGGGAAAGGGGGGTAAGTGGGGTGCAGCGCAGAACACGGGCCGAGGGCCAAGTCTCTGAGGCAGGTTTGCTGGTGACAGCAGTTAACTCTCACCCGGACCTGAGAGGGTCAGACAGTGCAGGTTGAGCTGATGATGACATGATGGTTTAAAGCACATGTGTCAAACACAAGGCCCGCGGGCCAAATCCGTCCCACCAGGCCTTGCAATGTGGCCCGCCCCACGCTGTCATCACTGCACTCCGCTGCGTTTCCATCACAATGACAGTTTATGACTGTTCAGTAAACCATTCGGCCCGCGATTCAGGCTGGATTTTAGATTTCGGCCCCTTCTCTGATTGAGTTCGACACCCCTAGTTTAAAGAAACAAGTCAGGAATTTAAGGATGTATTTCCCTGGAATTGTTCTAACTACCTTGAGGCCGCTAGGTGTACTGGTTAATACAGACTTTTTTCAATAGATGGACTTACACATATGTTGATATATATGCGACTTGATATGTATGCTATGTTGTATTGATAGCACGCTTCAAAAATTCATATGTCAAATTTTCTGAAGGTGTTAAGATATTTTTACGCTTAAAAATGTTGAATTTCATGCCCAAAAGAAGCATTTGTGGGAAGCTTTAATTCATTATTTTGAAGAAAAGTGCTGCTGAAAGTTAGTGTCTACTTCGGGAAGCTTATGGTGAACATGCTGCATTTCAAGATACTTGTGACCACTGGTTTAAACGCTTTAAAAGTGATGATTTTATGTGAAAGAGTGTCCAGGTCAACAGAGCAAGTTTGAAAACCAACAATTACAAGCATTATTAGATGAAAATGCATGTCAATCTCAAAAACAACTTGCCGAAAGATTAAAAGTTGCTCAGCAAACAATTTCTGGTCATTTACAAGCAATGGGAAAGATTTTAAAGGAAGGAAAATGGGTGCCACATCAATTGAATGAAAGACACATGCAAAATTCATCAGTAAAATGTTTCAATGGCACGGAAGGTCTTTTTGCATTGAATTGTGACTGGCGATGAAAAGTGGATTTATTTTGAGAATCCCAAATGCACAGAATCATCCAGGTCAACCATCAACATGGACTGCAAGGCCAAATTGTTTCAAAAGAAGACACTGCTCTGCGTTTGGTGGGTTCAGGAAGGTGTGGTGTATTATGAGCTAAAACCAGGTGAAATTGTTAATACTAATCGCTACCAACCGCAAATAATCAATTTAAACCACACTTTGTAAAACGACCAGAATGTGCCAGAAGACACCACAAAATAATTTTGCTTCATAATGACACACCATCACACACTTCAAAACCAGTTAAAGACACGTTAAAATATCTTGCCTACGAAGTATTGACCCACCCGCCGGATTCACCAGACCTTGCTCCTTCAGATTACCACTTGTTCTGATCCATGGCACACACACTTTCTGAGCAGCACTTCAAAACACACGAAAAAGTGGGAAATTGGAGCTGTTCTGGAGCTGAATGGTTTGCCTCAAAACAAGAAAAGTTCTATTGGCACGGTACCCACAAATTACCTGAAAGATGGGGGAAATGGATAGCTAGCGATGGACATTACTTTGAATAAGACACTTTTGGTGTTTCCCTTGCAATTACCACATTTTCTTTGATTATAAAAATCCGCACGGAGGGAGCTAAGACCCTCACAGCGCTGGTTACACCTGCCACGCATCTGCCTCTTTACAAAGCACAGCGCCCCCTTGTGGGCCCTTGTTAAATACCATGTGTTTTCAATTGAGCAGCCCAAGGAGGGACGGAGCCCTAAGCCTGCACCCAGGGTTGGAGAGAGCTTACTTGTTCTCCCGTTGGAAGAATTGTTCTCACGTTAGCCAGAGATTAATACTTTTGTATAGGTTTTTTTATATTGTTATTGATCTCAGAGAGGAAGGAAGAGTGGGAGAGAGAAATATCAATGATGAGAATCATTGATGGGTTACTTCCTGCACGCCCCAAACTGGGAATTGAGCCCCCAACCCAGGCATATGCTCTGACTGGAAATCTGAACTGTGACCTCCTGGTTCATAGGTCAACGCTCAACCACGAAGCCACGTCAGCTGGGCTTTTTGTATAGATTTATAGTCAGGCCAGGCCAGGGTTTTGTTTTATTAATCCTCTGACAGAAGCATGGAGGACAAGAGCAATAGTGAGTTCTTGGGGTGATGGCCCAGCCCTAAATGTCTCCCTTCTAGTAGGAAAGCCGGAAGCCCCACCCCAGTTTTTCAGGATCAGCAGGCGGTACCTTGGAGATAAGTTAGCCGCACTGGACATCACACTAACCTCCCCACCTTCATAGCTGAGTAGATTAGGAGTAGAACCTCCATCCAACCTGGGGTCGTTTCTGGGAATTGGGAAGTGAGGGGCCACGCCTGGTGAAAACTGGAGGTGATGGAGGTGAGGTGGGTGTAAGTAAGTAGAGGGGGAGGGGATCTATTCCAAGGACACTTTGCAGGTGGTCCTTAGTGTGGTTTATCTAAGCTTGTCCGGGGAAGGACCCAAGAGAGAGATTAAGATTCCTTCATGGACTAGTTCAGATGGGAGCAGCTGGAGGGAGGTACCCGCCATGCTTCCTGCTGCTCCTGGCAGAGTCCTTTGCCCAGCCCTCTTAAACAACAGGAAGGAGGAGGTCAAACCACCAGGAGAACGTGAGGGTTGCAAGTGAGCAAGTAGGTTTAAGTTCAGAACGCCTGTCCCATCCCTTTCTCTTCCTTCCTCCCCCGAAGCTTCTGAGAGCAGGAACCGCACAGGCCTCTGGTATATCCCCATTTAAGGAAGAGAAAGCAGAGCTCTGAGGCTACGCATGCTCAGGATGAGATAGAGTCCCCTGGGGCCGCGTCCCCAGCCCTCACTTCACTGCAAAGCATCAGCAGAACTGACCAGAACCCACCTCCCTTTGCAAGGGGAGGCTGTAAGGCCTCCTACACCCCTAAAACCAATCCTAAGGGTCTCGTCCACGTTATCCAGTCGGCAACCCCTTTCTCCAAGGCCAGCCTCTGACTTCAAGGAAGAGCTGGTAAAGCTGTTGCCCGAACAGGATGCTTTGAAGCCACACTGACTTATGCTTCGGAACTTAACGCAAACTCAGGTGCTGCTCTTGTGGGTCGTTCCCTCTAGGACACCTATCAGCAGAGCCATTCAGCCCACCTGGTGGGCCCTTCACTAAGGGTTGAAAAACACACGGTCCCTGTTCCCATTGCTGTTTCCCAGGAGGTGGACAGGGAGGCTGATTAACCCAGCAGGCCTAGGAGTGTGGAACAAATACTACTTAAGAATTCAATGGAAGGGACTGGCTTTCAACACTCCCACCACGATGCCAGGGAGGCAGTTGGCTATAGAAGAATACAGGCTTACACGGGCAAGCCAGGGTTTTGTTTTAACAAAAGCATGGAGGATAGGAGACCTAGAGAAGTGCCTGTGCTGGCATGTAGAGCACTGAATCGTTGGGACAGAGACCTTTCAGGGTCCACACAAGTCTGAGGGCACGCTCATATGCAAAGTGTCCCCTCGGTAGTTCGATTGGCAGCCGGAAGGCCCTGACCGGCTCTGATCACCAGCCAGGCCTAGAGACTCTAGCCGTGCACAAATTTCATGCACTGGGCCTCTAGTTCTATTATAACGAAGGTACATGTAGACAGTAGGAAAACCCAAGAAAAAAAGAGCTGGAACCACATCCAGACACAGCTGATGCCAGCAAGGTATTACTGAGCCCTTAAAGCTGAGAGACCACCCAGCAATGGAACAAGACAATCCCTGCCCTCTCTTTTCAACCCCGGCAGCTGCCTCCAATCACGTTGTTTGCAGACATACTTATGATTTTTTATCATCATTCCCATCCTACCTCCAGCTTCTTAAGCCCCAGAGCAACATAGAACTTGCACAGAGCCTAGCATGCGCCCAGAGGTTTGGTTTCGAGTCTCGTTTTAAATAGCATTAAATTCAACAAGGCTTTGCACACCTGCTTGCAAGAGCTGGCGGGTGGTGCCTTAGTTTTACATCCCAGTCTGTCCATCACATAAATGCTCTCGGGGTGAACTTCAGTCATCACACCTGCTCTTAACCCCAGTCCCATTAAGGCCTGATCGTTCAAACCCCGTTTCTCAGAACAGTCACTGCCCCACTTGTTTCGCATTTCTGCTTTTGAAACCACACCGCTTTGCACAAAGTCAAGGTTTCTAGGGTCCTTTTAGTTCACAAAACTGCCTTCACACCCATTGTTGTTGTTTTTTTAATATTTTTAATTCGCTTCACGAATTTGCGTGTCATTCTTGCGCAGGGGCCATGCTAATCTTCTCTGCACCATTCCAATTTTAGCATATGTGCTGCCGAAGCGAGCACCCCATTGCTTTTTGATTGAAGGTTGCATTCGGGGGTGCTGGGTCACCCATGGGAGCATCTACCACGTGCCAGGAATAGACATACTTCAGACAGAAGCCAGGGGAGTATCAGAGTGTTCGTAAGGGCTGGAAGGTTGCCATTTAAAAATAAGGTAGTCAGGGTAGGTAATGTTCAAGAAACTGTTTAAACCTAAGTACTTTTGGACAAATAATTCCAGGTAGAGAACAAACGTCAGAGGCCCTGGGACGCCAAGGTCACCTTGCAGGAGGAAAGCAGGCAGGGAGGGTACAGCTGAGGGTAGAGGGCTGGTGCAGAGAATTCCGGAGACCTCTCCTAGGGCCCAGGTAGGCCATCGCAAGGACTTTAAGCTTTTCTTTTGAGGTTTGGGAGTTTCTGTAGTTTTTAAACAGTGAGATTTAATTTTCTATTTAACACACCCACGCTGTAATCAGGAAAACAGACTGAGATGGGGGGTGGGGAGGACAGGAGCACAAGCCAAGAAATCCAATTGGGCACGCCTGCAATGAATAACCCAGAGATAGCCGAGGGAGGCCAGGAATGATTAACCTGGATACATTTTGAAACGGAATTTCCCGTCAGATTAGAAAGTCAAGGATGTAAGCCCAAACTAGAAAACCGTTTAGAGAGAGGTACTTTTATATGCCCTCACATTTACCCTGCCCCCAACTCCGAGAGAGAGGACCCCCCTCGCCCCCGCCATGGTGAGGCTCCAGGGAACACACCTCAGAGCCCTTGGTTTCCCCCTAGGAGCCGCTGCCTCCATCTTCTGAGATGAAAAACCCTTTCCTTCCGCTTTCTCGATGAGGAAACAACCCCTGGGTTTCTTAGAACCTACAGCCTTCCCCCCCAGCCCCCATCTCTTGCTTTTCTTGGCTTCTTAGCTTTCTAAAATAAACTTCTGAGAAGAGTTCTTTCTGCCAGCAGCCCTTTTCGGGGGAGGGAGGGGGGCGACTCCCACGGACCCGTGCTTTTTTTAGAAACAGAGAAAGAAAGAAAGAAAGCACTATGTTTGCAAACCCTCCCGGCGGGCGCCTCCCAGCTTCTGCAAACACAAGGCGCCCGCAGGGCCGGAAGCTAGCGGCTTGGGAACGACAGCAACACAGCCCTGAAAAAAGGACTTCCCGAGCCCCCCAAAACCAGGCGCTGGTGCTTTTGGTGCCCCCAAAGCCCCAGCGCAGAACACCCTCCCTTCGCCCCGCAGCCCCTGAGCCCACACCCTGCCGCTCCCGGGGAAATTCGGACGCAGCCTGGAGCCCGCGCTGCTTTTTCAAGGGGCCGCGCGGTGACGTACTTCCGGGGGCGTGGCTGGGGGGCGGGGCCTGGCGGGCGGGGGCGGGGAGGCCGGGCCGTCCGCGCATGCCCGCGGGCCGCCGCGCCGAGCCGAGCGCTTTGACTATATATGGTCAAAGCTGGGGGCGAGCCGCGCGCGGGGCCGCGCTTCCGGGTTCGGCGTCCGCCGCGGCAGCGCGCAGGGCAGGGCGCGAGCGGACCTCGGAGCCGCGGCCTCGGACCGCCCCCTCCGCGTCCGGCACGCCCGGCGCCGCCTTTCGCTCGGCTCCCGGCTCGGCCTCGGCCAGGTCTGTCCGATTCCCGGCGCGGGCGGTCCCCGAGGGTCCCGGCGAGCGCGGCGCGGTAACAAGTGGGCGAGGATGCCGTACGAGATCAGTAAGTGCCGGCCCGGGGGATGGGGGCCCGGGGGGCGCCCGCGCCGCCTGCCCCCTCGGCCAGCGGCCATCGCGGGGCGTGGGCGGCCCGGCGGGGGTCCGCGGGGAGGGGCGCGGGCGCAGGCCCCGCGAGCGCCCCGCCGCCCTCGGGGGCGACCCCGGCCCGGGGACCCCCCCTAAAGTTGGAGGTGCGGGCCGGGCCTGTGGAGCCCCCTCGCCCCCGAAGGGGCTGGCGGGGGTAGGGAGGGGGGATCGTGGACCAGGAAGTCGCACAGTCCCCTGCGCTCTTCCAAGTGGCGGCCGGCCCTCCCTCCGGGTGGAGGCAACAGGTGACGGCTGAGCCGGGTCCTGAGCCCCCGCTCGCCTCCCCTCTGGCCTCCGCCGGGTGGGGGGTGGGGGGCGGGAGGCAGGGGGGGGCCGGGCGGGGCGCCCCTAACGTGCGCCGCCGCTGCGTTGGTGTCTCTGCAGAGAAGGTGTTCGCCAGCCTCCCCCAGGTGGAGAGGGGCGTCTCCAAGATCCTCGGCGGCGACCCCAAGGGCAATAATTTCCTCTACACCAACGGGAAGTGCGTCATCCTCAGGAACATCGATGTGAGTACCCCCGGCCCCCCTCGGGGCGCCCGGCCCGCCCCCGCGCAGCGCAGCTCCTGGGCGAATTCCCCTTCCCCGGCCCCGGTTCCTCAAGGCCAGTGGCCTGGGAGGAGCACGCCACGCCCCCTCGGCGCTGGGACCACACCTCACAAGCCCAGGAAGACTGTTTCAAGTTCATCCGGGCCGGGTTCGCTCTCTCCTTGTGGAAACTGAGGCTCAGATCAGTTCAGCCCATAAGCATGAGGGCTCTGGACTTGGGGGATCACAGGCCACGAGCCCTGCTCCTTGATCTTGGGGAGGCTGGGGGAGGGTTTGCTGACTCAGGCCTCCCTGAGCCCCAGTTTCCTCATCGGCAAAGTGGAGATGATGCGATGAGGCTCCCCCCCACTTCCCCTGGCCGCCCTGCCCACTGAATGAGGCGAGGCCTCCCCGCAGCCCAGCCTGCCTGGCACACACCCAGCACTTAGTAAATGGCACTTAGGTTTAATCACCATTAACACCCGGGGTCTCCCAGTGTCCCTGGGCCAGGCAACTGCCCTCCAGCCTCCTCTTTCCCCCCCCCCTGCGGATCTGAGCCCCAGGGCAAAATTAAACACCCCTGAATTCCCATGAGTCACTGCACAGGCTGGCATCCTGTCCCCAGGCTGAGAATGCTTCCAGAGCCAATTCCCAGGGAAATCCTTGCACATTCCTGCTGCTGCTCTGTGGTGATTGAAATGACCAGGATGGCACACTGAAATGCTGCTTCTCCCCGACTCAGCTGGAGAGATGGGGGGGAGGGGACACAATGGGGGAGGGAAGCCAGGGGTGCCAGTAGGACCATTGGGGTGGGGTTGGGTTCTGAGTGGGCTTGGGTGGGTGGTTTTGCTTGGCGATGCTCCCAGGGTGTCAGCTTAAGTTCACACACATCGCAGTGTGGGTTGGGATTGTTGCTGGTCTGACGTGCTTACGAACCTCACAACCCACTGAGGGAATGAGGGGCCCTGGGCCTCGGCTCCTTGTCTGTAAGAGGAGAGGCCTCTCCTGGGTCGGGGGCTGCTGGCTCTGCCCCCACCTCTGGGGAAGCCAGCCGCTGCGATCGCTCTGCTGCAAAGCGGAGCTCCGCTGGCAGCGTCTGCCCAGGGCTGCTGGGCACCTCGCGGGAGAGGTGGGCGGCTGTGAAAGTGCTTTGAAGGTGCTAGCAGCTACTCTGCCAGTCACACGGGTTCCTAGAAAGCTGAGCTGGTCTCGCTCAGACCGAGGGGAAGCATTGCCAAGAGCTTAGATCGTGCTGATCGAGAGGTCTCCAGGGTGAGGGCCTCACATTTTGAGAAAAGTTGAGGTGGCCCTAAGTAGACACTTGGGGTTTGGCAAATAGTCGAAAGCGTCTCAGGGATGCAGACCGTGCTCCCCATGGGCTTGCCCCTGACAAGGCAGGCACATCATGGCCGCTTATGTTCAGTCCAGGTGCAGCCTCACATGAGGTGTACCTGCTGTGTCTGGTACCGTGAAGGATTCTCACACTGCAGCAGCTCCTCCAGCCCCACCGTGGGCCCCTCGCTCTGGAGGGGGTCAGGCTCAGTAAGGTGAAGGAGCTGGTTCTGATGGAGAAGCTGGTCACAGCCATGGACGAGCCACAGAGGCATCCCCCGGCCTGGAAACCCACGCTGTCTTCTGATGTCGTCACTGCTTACACTACATCCTCTCAGGATCCTGTGCTTTCACTTCCCATCTCTGTAGGGTTCTGCAGGACAGGGCAGCCCGGGTGCTGCTGCTGTGGCTGACCCTGTGCTGGGTGTGAAGGGGGCACGTGGGCCTGTGTGACTGGGGGCCATTGGTTGTCCAGTAAAGTGGAATGGTGGTTATTGGGACAGATACTCCTGTGAGAAAGAAGTCCTCCTCCGCCTGCACGGACCAGGCGGGAAGGCGGCGGTGAGAGTACAGGCTCGGAGTAGAGAAGAGGTGGGAAAGAAGGCGTGGACCGGACCTGGAAGTCTGATTGGCATCTCACCCGTAACATGCCTGAAACCAGGTTAGGGTTTCCCATGTGCCCCTCCCCCAGGAGAGCTATGCAGTTCCTCAGCTGTTCAGGCCTCACACCTTGCACTTGGCTCCCCCTCGCCTTCCACATCGTATTTCATTCCTCTCGGAACCCTCTGGAGGCTATTCAGAGCAACTTCAGGATCTGACAGGTTTTCAGTCCTCCTTCTGCTGCCCCCTCATCCGGGCCACCATCTCCTCTCCTGGGTACAGAACAGGCAGCCCGGCTGGGCTCCCTGCCGGCGCCCGGCTCCTCCGGCTGCTCTCAGCACCGCACTGGACTGGCTGCCTTAGCGCCGGTGCTCCTGCGCTGTCCTGCCCTGTGGCTGAGGCGCGGTAAGAGGCTGGATGGTGGGCCCTCACACTGCTCCAGGCAGAGGCCCCAGAGCCTGTCCTCAGTGCTCAGTCTCGCAGGGAGAGCCATCTCAGGAACTTCACATTGGGACTGACAAGGAAGAAGCAGAGGCGTGGGGGCCACTCAGCACTGGAGGCTCCGGGCGCCGGCGGGCTCCGGAGGACACCTGGATCCGTGGTGCAGGCAGGTGGAGTGTGGGTGGCCAGAGGGTCCCGGCGTTTCGGGGCCTGGAGAGACGGTTTGACTGGAGCACTGGGTGCGGGGGAACATGCGGGACGGGTGCAGCCCTCCAGAGGGTCCCGAAGGTTCTGCAGGAGACGGATTACTCTGTCTGAGATTTGTGGCAGGCGG